AATGTGGTGTGGGGGCACAGCACACCAGGACTGTTAAATGCAAACTTTTAAAAAGAGTTTGATTCATTTTAGAAAGTAAACAAACTGTTCCAGCTAGCAGCAATCTTTTATTTTGGTTGCTAGAGGAATGCCGTGCTTGCGTGGGCTGGAGTGGCTGGCTGGGGGCGGGGTGCAGGGGGGGGGCGGGGACCGGGGCCCTGCGAAATAACCACGACCCTATCTGAATGCTCAGGGACAGAGAAAGGATCACGTGAGTGGAATGACAAGACTTAAGCTGACATGAAAACCACACATCAAGGCTGCTGCTCCTGAGATCTCAATGTGGGATTCTGGTCTAGCAACCAAAACCTTCGAGCACTCCTAAATGGCTGGAGAGACAGCATATTCGATTTCTTTGTAATACCATGAGTTGCTACTCTTGAATTTATGGACTGCTTAAACTCCCAAGGTTCCTTTTTTAAATCAAATTGCTTGATTTTCAAATTCTTGATAGCCATTTTTTAAGTTTTTCCCCTGTATCTATTCTTCCCCCCAAAATTAACAAAGTGCTTAGTTCTGGCAGAGGAAATTTTTTTAAAAAATTAAAACGCCTACATCTAAACAAACAATTTCTTCAAAAAGCTTTGAGACAAGAGACTGAAGAGTGAGGCATCTAAGTAGGTGGGGGAGGAGGAGGAGCCGGGGGCCAATGCCCCTCCGCAGGCCACAAAATTCAGGTGCCATCTGCCGTTTGTAGCCTCGCCACACTGAGCTCACTGAAATCAACAATGTTAAATACTTAACTTCACAAACTCTAAAAACGAGCTGTTGTGACCTACCCAAAAAAAAAAAAGTATATACATATTTTACATAATATCTTAAAGGTCATATTTACAAAAGAAAATCTATTCACAGAAACACTTTGAGATTCTGATTCAGAACGCAGTACCTGGCCTTGGTGTTCTGCGGTTTACTCTCCAAGGGCATCACTGCTCCACCATGCGGACAAAGGGTGACACCGGTTCTTTCAACAACAAGCAGTCACGGTTCTTGTCCAACGGATTAATTCAGACAAAAACCAGGAATGTGGTTCAGCATTCCTCAAGACCTCAGTAATATTGCATTTGTCCATTACTTAGTAAATAAAGTGCACTCGGCTGCACATTAGCATGTGGAAAATTGCTACCGCTGCAATTAAATACTGTCATCGCATTTTCCTTTCTGCAAAGCCATTTGACATCAAGGGCAATTCCTGGAGGTGAAGTGTTAACAGTTACACTTGGGGCACATGAAAACACTAGCGAGGAGCGCACCTGTGACAACCAGTGACAGTGCCAGCCGCTCCACACGATCACTGGCGGACCGGAGCTCGGAAACATCGATCCCACAGGACGGGTCAACACAGCACTTGGCGGCGACTGAGCACATGAGGGCCCGTGCTCTCTGCCCAAAGCATCTACTCTCCCTTGGCCCCCACGCCCGCTCCACGTGTTCTCTGACCCACCTGCACTGCTATGAAAGACTGGACAGCCAGGAAGAGAGAGACAGCTTTGTGATCAGTAACACTCCGTCACCTCCAGAATCACACCTCTAAGAGGCAGACAGCCGAAATTATTTGTTTTGAACACCATGGTACACATACAAAGGGGGAGAGTGGAGAAAACAGGTAGATAATTCACTTCAGCTTAAAATCCAGTCCTGCTCAAGTGACATCACTTGGAATACTCCCACGGGAGAGCAAAGCGGTCCTTCCCTCAAAGCCCACACATCTGGAACGTGACTTCCTGGTACTCCTCGTGCATTCTCATTTATGCAATGATTTCCTTGAAGTTTCTGGTGTAGATATGTCAGCAGTATTTCTGTTAGTGAACAGAAGAAACAAGCATTGAGGTGCGTGCTGTGCACAGCAGAGTAGCCCACAGCACAGCCCATGTTCACAGTGTGGCTCTGGCTGCACTCACTAGCCAACGCCTTGGCCCGAGCTCTGTCGATGACTTTATGTTCTACATCCAAGTTTAAAATCTACTTAGATTATAGTTGAGCCTTTGCTTCTCTTCAGAAAACATGAAAAAAAAATCTAGCAAAGGCAAGGAAGCAGCCCAGCTCCCCCCATAGGATCCCAGCTCTCCCATACCTGGTCAGGACCCATGGGCATGCCAGACATGGGCATGGAGTTCATGGTCATCTGCCCCATGGGGCCACCAGTGCCATTCATGTGCACCATGCTATATGCAGCAGGATTCCCCGAGTGGGTAAACTGCTGCTGGGAAAAGGAGCTGTAAAGAAAACATGTGATTACCTCCCAGGTCATTTTAATAACACAGGACACACACACAGACAACATCTCCATTCTGTCAAATGCTCTTCAGCAGACTCCTGACAACCTGCCTCCGAATCCTCACCGCTGCTGTCTAGTACCCTCAGGTACGCATGCACAGTAATGAAAGGGTGGAGCAAGCTGAGCACCACGTTTTCTAATACGAACTCAGGCCATTCGCTCGCCAGGCAAACAGGACTAGCTAAAAGACATGAATTTTCTGAAACATTTGGCTCTAGAATTACAAAGACCTTTTTAGAAGTTCCCATTCTTCACCTGTTCCTGGCCAGGTTTCCTGACGGCCAGCCCTTCATTTCTGAAGACTGATACATGGGTGCGGTCTGAGGGTGCTGCATCATGGGATTCTGGGAGGGGCCCATTCTTGCTGACATCACTGCAGTGGGTGGGCTGGACACCCGACCAAAGGCTGGATCTGGTGGTTGCCCCATCCCTTTAAAAAAGAAAAAAAGTTACATCACGCAGTCTTAAAACAGCTTTCCACAAGAAATTTATATTCTTTTTGGTGGGGTAAGGTAAATGACAAGATACAAAGTTTTACAAGATGCGGCCTTCCAGCTATTTTTGCTTCTCATCAAGATGACAATCAGAATAGGGGACTGAGCCAAAGGGTAGTTACTTGAAAAGAAGTTACTTCCACGCTTCTTCTGCAGAAGCAGGACTCCATTTCACACTGCTCACCTCCCTCCGTCACTGCTGAGAAAGCAGATGCACTGCCGGCCCAGCCAGCAGCGCTGCACCCTAAGACAGTCTCCCCAGGGAGGCCCATAGCCTTGCTCCCATGTTCTGGAACTTCTCAGTGACAGGCCTGAAAAGGCTCATTATTATACATGCCATAGGGAAATATGTCCAAGTCACCTAGAAAGGGAACTCGGACGCCCAAGCCATGCATCCTCTCGCTCACATGCCCACGCGTTGTGAGCACAGAGTGTTGCACGGGGACATCGCTGGGGAGGGCCTTGCGGTCTTCCAAATTACCCAATTAGGAGCTGAAAAATCTACTCAACTATGTCAAGCAGAGCTACTCCAACTACAGCTACTTGTGTGGTACACAGACAATTTTGTTCTTTTCATTCATTTCATTTACTTGTGAAATAACAAATGAATAATATTTTTGGTTGTTTTTAATAAATAGATCTAGTGAATCTTACATGTCCTCATAAGGTTACTTTGGCAAAGACCTTTTCACTGTCAAATTTACCATAATTTGGTGGGTATGGAAACTGCTGGGGTGGCGCTTGTGGAATGGCAGGTCCCGCCAAAACCCCATCCATGCTGGGGGATGCAGTCACGTTGGGAGGTGGGCTAAAGGCCTGGGTTTGCTGCTGCTGCTGCTGCTGCTGCTGCTGCTGCTGCTGCTGCTGCTGCTGCTGCTGTTGCTGCTGCTGCTGCTGCTGCATCATCATGGCCACTCTCTGCTGTCGAAAGTGGTGACTGAGCAGCTCTCTGCTGCGCTGCGCAACCATCTGGGCATTAAGAAAACCCTGCTAATACCCAAGAAAACATGACATCACACATAGCAAGAAACGGCCAATGTCATATCACCCCCAAACCATACTAGTTGTGCAAGAGCAAAAAAAAATAACTCTACTGTCAATCCCCCAAAGGAAAATGCACAGTTCTTATTTTGGTAAAGGTCTGTTGCTGGGGAAGAGGGTAGTTTGCATAGAATAGGAATCTGGAAATTTTCTGGGGCTAGGAGATGAATGCAGACAAGTGTCCAAACTTTGTTAACATAGTCAGAAAATATTCAAAGTAAGAAACATTGAGGTAGGAAGAGGAAAACTTTGAAATAAAAACTACAAGGGGGAAAAAAAAAAGCAGCTGGGCTGAGTGTGTGTGGAAGAGGGGGGCTGAAACAAGAGGTCAAAAAAACACCAAACACATAGGGTGGGTGATGGTTATACTGAGATAAACAGGAATCTATCCCACCCAACCCAACTACCCCACCAAGAGGGTCAGCAATCCCTCTAAAGCCTTGAAAGAGGCAGAAGATCAGAAGCTGTCTGCAGGGTAGAGAATGACATCTGATCAAAGCACTGAACATGGGAGAGGTCACCTCCAAAAACAAATTTTTGGAGGGCACCCTGTTTCAGCTTCTACAGACATCCAATCACAAAAACACACAGGTTTCCCAAATAGGCCTAAGACTGAAAACTGGACAACTCTTTTACTCTTTATGCTTCTTGTACTTCAAATTTTACCCCATAAGCATGTGCTTCCATGAACTAAAAACCGAAAAGCCTACATATTAATTACTTTAAATCCCTAAGTGATGGCTCTTTTTACAACACAGCAACTGATCATAAACAGAACTTAAAGCACATGTACCAGTGATTTTAATCAAAGCAGTTCTTTAATTCATCCTCATCATCAGCAAGAATGGTCAACGTGTGATGGGGTCATGAACGATTTCTTACAAGTTGTACTTGTCTGTTTAACCAATACCAGCCTAGCGCCACCCCTGGCTGGGAATGCAGTGGTAAATGTAGAAAGACCTGAGGTCTCACCTGGGAGTTGACTGGGGGCTGCATCATGGGCCTCATCACAGCAGCCCCACCAGAAGTGGGGTTCTCCATTTTCATTTCAAGTGCCTGACGGCTCTGATTCAAAAACTGGGGAGAGAGAGACTGGTTAGGATGTGAGTGGAGCATGTCAATGAGTCCACAGTAGCTTTCCAAATTCTCAGCACCATCCCGTGAAGCCATGATGATCTCTCTGAGCCCTTAACCAGGTTAAGTCACATCAAAGCTGAACTGGTATATTTTCACACTTCAAAAAAGTTCTGCTGCAAAGTCTTTGGCTAGCATATGAAGCTCTCTCTGCTATTTGGAATGAGAAGGAAAAGAAAGCAAAAGTACAATTTTGCAGCTCAAATATCTTTAACGGGAACTCAAAGAATTTATAGTATCAGACTTTCTCTGACTCGTTTAGGCCATTAGGGAAATATTTTGATCAGAATAATACTGAATAACAACTTCTATTAACTCATTTCTAGAAAACTTAGATGAAAAGAAATAGTAAAAAGTAAAATGACCGTATAAACACATCAAACACAGCTTTCCCTGGCACCAAAACTGACTTTTGGGAATAGTAATACACTAAGAGTCTCTGGCTTGTTGGAATCTAAACTCTTCCACTTGTCTTGCTATTGATATGGTTCAATTTTGCCACCTTTTGTAACTCAGTACACTCAACACAAAAATCATGTAATTAAAATTTAAAAGGTATGGTGAGGATTGAGAAACAATAAGAAAAAACAGAAGTCTTACCTTAGAATAACAAAAGAACTCAAGTTTCATAAAACATCTTGGAAGCAGATTCCGTTAAAAAGTTTTAAATCAATGTATTTTAAATATATGATTATTAATGTTAAGAATTTTCAAAAACTACAAACTACCTACCTCAAAGACAACATACAAAGCTATCAAAAAACACCTCTCTTTTCCTCTAAGAAAAAGCCCCTCAACAATTTTTACTTTTTAACCTATGTAAGGGAATGTTTTTATAGCAAGGCACCCAATTATGATGATTCCCTAACACAGAACTCTCAGAACAAGTAAAATGTTGCCTAGAAGTGAAGAAAAGGGGATTTCTTGAGTTCAGGAGGGAAAGAGAGTCAGTAACAAGAGCTTGGAAGGACAACTGGAAACAAAGCAAAGCAAAAGCCGCTTCTGGGCAAGGCAGAACATGAGATGGTACCTGCTGGCCCTGCAGCCTCTGCTGCAGCTGCATTCTGAGTTGCTTTGGGGTGTTGGTCCGGGGTCTCATGATGTTGGCCCTAGGGTGCATTCCCTGGAGAGGAAAACTGCCTTGCTGGTTCATCTGATTCATCATAGAGTTGAATGGCGGTGCTTGTCCCTGAAGGTTGAAGCCTCCCTGCATTGGAGGCCCCTGAGCTGGATATGGCTGTCCATATAATGCTGCCTTTTGATCCATCATTACTGCTGCTTCTTGGCCTGGGAAAGCATCCTGTTTGGTCTCCAAAGCTTGCCCCTTAAATATCAAACGTATAAATGAATAATGAAATACATCTGGGAATACAAAAGAAGCCTTAAAGAAGATGTGGGGGGGGGGGGAATATATGTGAACAATAATGTTGAAAATTTTGAAAAGCAAATCAAGTTTATCATCTAAAGTTCTAGAAGAACACAGTTCATGTCTTGCCTTTTCATGGCTGTATCCTAGTGCCCGGGTAAGGATAGTTTCACACAGATAACCAGTCATTATCTAAACATACTAAGTACCTGTAGAATTACTAATTGTTGCAGAACAGAATTCTAGACCTCATGGCAACATGGACAAACCATGCCAAGTAAAAAATAAATTAAAATCAGTGTAATCAATGAATGCCCATGCAGTTTATACAAAAATATTTTTCAAGGTGGCAAGAATTTATTTTGGCAGACAAATCAACAAAAGCTCATCTGCTAGCGGTGTGTGTGTGTGTAGTGTGGGGGGTTGGTAGGCCCATTCTCTGAGTGAGTGGTAAGTGCCTATTAATGTGCCAAATACCCCTTTCTCTACATACTAAGGATGTGTACAAAATGTTGGCCAGGAGGTGACAGAAAAAAGAGGTTAAGAATGACTATTCTGGGCCCTCCCTGATGGCACAGCGGGTTAAAGCACAGCACTGAGAAGCTAACGCTACTTCCGCATGAGTTCAATTCCCGCCTGCCCCGGAGGTGACCACATGGCGTCGCAGACCTCTCCTGACCCACCCACTGCTCCCCTCAGCAGTGGACTTTGTCCATCTGCCTGTTCTGCTCCCCACTCTCTCTCTGGTGAAGCATCTCACCGCCCCTGAGCCTCTGGCCTGTATCCCAGTTCTGTATGCACAAATAAATCTTTAAAAAAAAAAAATGACTGTTCTGAAGAAGGGAAGAGCCTGGTGTGACAAGACAAAAAGAGCCTGTCAAGTACTGCATTCACCTGTCAAGTACTGCATTCGCCTTAATTTTCTTCTTCTGAGACCAGAGTGCCAAGCCAATATGCCTGCCTCGCCTTCAGTGCTGGTTACCCCACTCCCACACTGAGAAGGACCCTGACCCTTCACAGAGTCTCCTTATCCGGTGCGTTTCCTCACGCCTCTGTATGTATCTACTTTATCTGTGTGGTTCCCTGCCCGGTGTGTCTGTTTTGCCCAGTGGGACACAAGCTTTGAAGAAATAATCTGCTCACTAGTGCTCCTCAGCCTAATAAAAGACTAATTAACACACAGGGAACAAATATTTGTCAAATGAAGGAATCAACATATCAATAACTAAATATATGCAAAGTACTGTAGGAAATCAAGAAAATAAAAACCCCCACCAGAAAAAAAATTTTTAATCTAAATGACCCCCCCAAAAATAAACATAAATATATTCAATCCTGCAAATCAAAGAAATGTAATTTAAAACAAGAAACTCTGTTGCCTATCTGACCACCAAAGATTTTCAGGAAGAATGGTGTTTGGTGTCTGTCACTTGTTCGCCCACCATCTACCTAGTCAGCCACAGCAGGACTACACATTTTGCTGAGGAAAAGCAGTTCTGTGACCATTCATGAACACAACCTGAAAGAACATAGCAAAACTAAAATATGCTCTCTTTTAACCCAATCATTCTTTCTCTCAGATTACAGCTAAGAAAACAGACTATGATAAATTAGAATTCACAGAATTATGTGATCAAGAATATCTAGGAACAACTTAAATTTTCAACAGTAGAGAACAGATTAAATAGTGTTCAAAGTAACAGGTTTTATTTGGCCATTAAAATTAAAGATATATTAAAATGAAAAAGACTAACTTTCATAAAAAGTGAAACAGGTATGTTAAAGTCCACTCCTTTATTTTTTTAAAAATGCACTCAAGGCCCTCCCTGGTGGCGCAGCGGGTTAAAGCACAGCACTGAGAATCTAAAGCCGCTTCCTCATGAGTTCGATTTCCGCCTGCCCCGGAGGTGACCACATGG